AATGCAAAATAAAAATATTAAACTAAAAAACGAGTTCAATAGGCTATGGAGAAAAACTAATGATGCAATAGTTTTTCGGTGTAGAAAGCTATTGGTGCTTAGGTGAAGGTTTTATCTGCTTAAGTTCTAAACAAAGCTCTGAGCTGTGAAACTGGAATAATGGCATGGAAGGAAAAAACAAAAGTGCAAAATAATGTAAAAAAACGTGATAGCAGAGATGAGAGAGTCTTTGTATAACTGCCCTTCTATTTTATATCCTTCTCGTAACAAAAACTACTTTGAGAAAATATAGGGATGTGACTTCGTGCTTCCAAAAGATCCGTGTGTGGAGAAAGACCAGGAGGAAATCATACAGGTCGTTGGCATGGAATCATGGAGAAATATTTGTGTGTCAAACAAAGAAAATAGGTTATGCCGAGTGGCACACATTTTTTTACTCTGTGCCGATTGGAATGGCGTGTGTGCCGAGGGGCACACAATTTCAGCTTGTGTTGGGCGGAATGGAAGGTGTGTCATGGGGAACAACCTTCTGATATGAAGTATTCTATTATTTTTACTGTTTTTCTGATATTGAGCTCGTTTTTACATTTCTTCTCCTTTTCTCATGTAGGCCTTGGATGGAATAATTACCGAAACACACTTGAAAAGATAACATAATGCAACATAATTTAGATAAAACGGTAACTTTATTTATTCAAATCGGGTCGAATAAGCTATGTATTTTTGTGTTATCAGACAACAATAAATATATGGGTGAAGATTCAAGGACCAAGGATTGCTGAAGAGTATTTAAAGAAACTACTAGACCTAAGAGCATCAAGCATTCAAAAATTAGGGGAAGTCGTATTTTCACTATTGGGTTTGAGGGTTCTTCAAGGAAGTTTCTATTTTTTTTACATCCCCATGTATCTCTGATACATTTGAGTTGACTGATCGTTTCTTATTCATCAAGCTATTATTCTCCCCGAAGTTGTGAAGCAAGTGTTGAGTATTGTTCTTGGAGGAAGCTTTTAAGCAACTCCTAGTATTTGATTGGGAAGTGTGTTCTTCCTATTTTTATCTTCAGGTTGTTGTGACTGTAACTTGATTAGGGACTTTCATTGGGATTGAGGTAGGTCTATTTTATCACTACACTGATTGGACGTGGTATGTCGATTTCTCATATCTAGGGAGGACCTAGGTAGAAGTTGCACTGGTTAGGGAATAAGCGAGAAAGTGTAAACTTGTGACTAGTTTAGCTTCAAACTAATACTACTTATAGTGCATTTCATTCCTAGGTTGGTATCCCTAGTGTAGGTGAGTTAACACCGAACTGAGTTAACATATCATTGTGTTCTTTATCTTTCTACAACTTATATTTCTATTATGTTATTATTTTATGTTCTGCCAGCAGATGTCATAACATTTTTTATGACATTGTGTGGTGTTAAGACATCAGTCTTGACTTCTGTTTGTGTGCATGCTAGAATTTCAATTGGCATCAAGAGCAGGCGTCCTAATATGGTTACTGAGTGAGATTCATGGATATATATATATATATATATATATATATATATATATATATATATATATATATATATATATATATATATATATATATATATATATATATATATATATATATATATATATATATATATATATTCTGGAACTATTGAGAAAGAGGAAGTTATGACAATAGACCACCCATGTTTGATGGTTCAAATTATGACTGGTGGAAGATTAGAATGATGGTTTTCTTGAAATCTATGGATATGAAGGAATGGAAAGTTGTTCTAAAAGGATGGGACCGTCCCGGTGTGAAGGACAGAGATGGGAATATGACCTTAAAGCCAGAGGAAGACTGGTTTGAAATTGATGATGAGTTAGCTATTGGAAACTCAAAAGCTCTAAATGCTCTTTTCAATGGGGTGGATAAAAATGTCTTCAGGTTGACCAATACATGTACTATAACCAAAGATGCTTGGGAAACCTGCTGTAGCGGTAAAATCAATAAAGTCGCCACCGAGTATTTATTTATACCATATAATGGAAAGGAAGATCATTGAAGAAAAACCTAAAGGGGGAAATCAAGGTCTTGCGACCGAGAGATTGGGTAAGGGAGTCGATTATGCGAGGGGAAGGTATTAGCACCCCACACGTCCATAGTACTTTACAGGATCCACTCTCGTCATTCTAATCAAAGGGTATGTTCACTCTAATGCTTAAGGGTTATAAAATAAGAGAGAATACATGCAAAGAAAAGAGGAAGAATGTAGGGAAAATAAAGTTGTACTCGGTTGGGCCTACCCCAATGCCTACGTATCCTTTTTGAGGAATCAGAGCTACCGTAGTTCGGCTCATATATTTTGTTTGTTTGTGTTTTTTAAATGAACAATGTTGTATTCGATCATTCCACCGCTGCTCGACCTTTGAAGACTTATGACCTGTAGTGGAAAGGATCTAACATGCTCTTAGAAGAGAAAATACGAATGGAGAAAGGAAATGGATTGGTTGGTATTTTTTTACCATGAAAAGAATTTTTTATACATTTGCCAAGAAAAAGAAATTTTAGTTTTAAATGAAATTATGCAAAACAAATGGGGGGAAAACATTTAAGGGAGACTAACCTATCTCTAACCTAATGTTATCATACAATGAGGGATCCTATCTAAGTTAGCATGCCAAAGAAAGTCTAACAAAACTATCCTATAGGGAACATGCACTGAGAGCGAAGTCGTGATCTCAATTTCTAAATTGAGTGACTCATCGATCAATAAGAAATAAAGGAAAGCGATAAAATCCTATAGGGAACATGCACTGAGAGTGAAGTCGTGATCTCAATTTCCAAATTGAGTGACTCATCGATGAACAAGAGAGGGAACAAACACAAGCACAACACATATAAGAAATAAAGTGCGGAATTCCTGCTACAGGTCTTTAAACAGCAACTTCGAGTGCACGCTCTTTATTTCCTACTTCTCATTATATCTAGAAAAGCATAAATGCAGAAATATAACTTGGAAGCAATATAATACCAAAAGAACAATGACGTCCGCAAAAAGTGAAACCAAGGTAAAGAAATCTGAGATACTTCGTGTGAGCTAACAGAGAAAGTATCTTTCCTCTTTAAAGCCAAGCAAATAAGAGATCAAACGAGTTAGTCTCTAAGAACTTCCACATTGCCAAAGTTGCATAAACATTCTATCGCAAAATATTAGCTAGAAATGAAAACGAAAACGATTATCAAACATGAAAATAATAGAAAATTCTAATGAAAATTCTAAAGGGAGATCTTAATGATTTCTAAAATGTTCTATCACTTTCTTTGTATCATTTTCATCATTAAAATCTTGGAAAAAATGAAGCTAAAACTAATAAAACATGGGAAGATAAGAGTATGGTAGAAACAGAGGGGGTGTATTGCTAAGCCCAGGAAGTATTGAAAGGAAATGATGCTAAGCCCATCAAATTTGGTCCACCACCATTTTTTGTACATTGATATGAGGCTTCAAAACAATACAGAAATGGGGCAAGGTGGTTTGATCCAGAATCTATCTTTTAGGTGTAAGACATGCTAGCTTCAAAAAATCTCAACTGGCCTAAGTAGAACATCAAAGCCCAGCGAAAATAGCCACTGAGTCCAAACATTTTGTTATCCATGCTAGGGTTTTGAATGACTATTCCACTTCCAATTATGAAAGCGGTTCTCTTTCTCCTTTAATCTTCAGACTCAGCGTTTTCCTCTTCTTCGCTATCCAGTTCAGATACCCTTGGGAATCAAAACGCCACTGTCGATCTCCATCTCATCTTCAAAGTTCTTCACCCGACTTCAATTCCGTCTTTGATCTGTTTCCGACGTGAGCCTCCGTCTCACTCAGACGCGTATTCATGGTTCTCTAGCTAGGGGGTCCACGGCGATTCTACCTCTCAATAAAGTTTTGGCTTAGCTTCGGCTTTAAACATGGTTCCGATTCGATTTCGCCGTTAGTGATATCTCATAGAAGCTACGGTATGTTTTTCGTTCCCGACGCTCTTTCTTTTCTACGATTCGAAACTTGCTTCTTATGATTCTTGTGATTTTGCGTACGCATGAGAATGATTCAAACGCAATGTTGAGAATTTGTTGATGCTAACTTTGTTGCAGATTGAGCATCGATGATGAACGAAGATGAAGATGATGATAATTACAGAAGTGCGATTTGATGATGATGACATATGGAAATTGGAGGTCTTTCAGTTTTGATGATGAATGAAGATTGAAAAGGTTGAAACCTGATAATCTGGTTCAAGGAGAGAGAGGTTTGGTTATGGGGATTTTTGCAGAGGATCGTGAAGGTGATTCTGCTGCAGATGACAAATGAAGCAAAGGGTAGCAAGAATCTTGTGGAGATTTTCTTGGTGATTCTTCTCAAGAGTGAAGAATGGTCAAGATGATGAAAGAATGAAGTTAGGAAAGGAGGGTGAAGAGAGAGTTTCTGAGGATTTCTGGGTGACCATTCTTCTGAAGTGACCCCCCTGTGTATAATCGTATCTTGGTGATGATGAAGAGAAAGAGAGTGAGCCCCCCATTTTTATTGGTGAGTTCTCTCTATTTACTGTGATGTTTTTTTTTGTTCCCTCCATTTTTCTGATTGTGGTTTTCTTATCAGATCTGAATGAATTCCCCCCTCTTTGTGAATAGAAATTCTGTTAGGCTAGAGAAGTTTTGTTATGAAATCGGTTAGGATCCAGTTTTTTCCTTTTTCGTAACTGTTTGAGAAGCTTGTTATATCGATGAAGAATCTGTTGAAAGTTGGGTGAAAGCCCCTGAGGATATGGTTCAAAGGAGTTGGAAATATGTTTTTCTGTTAGAAGTTAGTTGGGCTTAGAAAACTAGTTAGGATTCAGTTATGCAGGGTTGGAGGTTTGGGATGTTAAACAGGGATGTTAGGAGATTCTGTTGCGATTCAGTTAGTTACTTTTCTAGTTTTCTGCTTTCTGATATTTCCTTTTATATATTCTGATTTTCTAATGCAGGGCTAGATGTTAGAAGAATGCAGTAAGTTTGTTCTTATAGGGCATAAAGGGGAGAATGGTTTGGAAGATTCAATTATTTTGGTGTAATTCATAATGAACCCTCTTTGCGCACACTGGGATTGGCCCTCAAAAGAAGTGTGAACTTGAAGCCAACTAGCAAGGCATGGCTGAAAAGTAATATTATAAGGCATTCGGCATGAAGCTTTAGTTAAACGTTGGAACATGGAGAATGATTGAGATTAGAACAAACGTTGTTAGGTTTAAGTTTTCTTGTAGTTAGGAATGAATTTGAATACATCTTATGTAATGGACACGTATGGAATTTGTACAAGTTTTGAATGTAATTTGAACAAAATGGTGTATGATATTTGAAATTGAAAGGCCCCGATAAATTTGTAAATGAACAAACTTGTTGGAATTTTTGTTGAATATGGAATGAAGAGGTTTTAAAATGGTTAATGGAACTTTGAATCGAAATTGGATAAAGAACTTCGCTGGAAATTTTGAATAGAATCAATTGGAACTTGAATTTTCCACTCGAAATCAAAAATGATCTCATGCCTTGAATAATGTTTGAAATGTTGTATTATTTCGCCTTGGTAGCTCGAATTTCAAGAAATCAACCATCGATGGATCTTCCTATTTACATGCTCGATTAATGCACTTCAAACTCAATTGAAACCATACGTCCAAGTTAACTTGTGAAGAAATCCACAAGAACTTTCTTCTAATACTAGCATGCATCACTTCTTATCACAACACGTGCTCGAGAACCTTAACTAATCTTGAGACCATGCCTTATAACCTTTGCATTTACTTATACTTTGCATTACAAGAAATACTTATGACACTTGCACCTTAAGAAACTTGAATGGATACTTCCCCAATCAAATACTAAATTCTCCATGAAGCTTTAACTTGCGTTACAAGTAATAACAACTCGAGAGAACAATAACCCCTCGAGTAATCCTTTGAAGATGAATATGGATCTAGAGATATAGGAGGAATAACCACCAACACATACTTAATATGTAAATCACATGAACCCTAGTTGATGAATTGACATGCTTAATTGCCATGCACGAAAATTACAATCTTCTTGAGATGCGCTGTAATGAAAATGGCTCTGTCTCTTACCTTGAGGAAGATATCCTTGTAGCTTGATAAGGGATAGATCCACAATGAACATCAATCGAATCCCTAAATTCACAATCCAATAATCCTATGAACCATGATTCATCAAATCCCAAATTGGTTAATTAAAGAGTGAATGAATTCCATGTCATAGTCCTCAAGCTTGACCAACTAATAATCACACATATGAAGAGACGCCATAATTCAAAGCCCAAGAAACAAACCTACCTTGATTCACAGTTTGAGCACCATGAATTATCTTGATGAATTCTTCAATCAATCCTTAACCACGTAATAAATAGCATCACAAGAAAAAAAAAGTCCTTGACTAAATCCTCTAAACTTCTTGAGAGGAATGTCTTGAGATATAACGATTAGGACAAACCCTAACTGACGGTGATGCACTCGCAACAAGGGACGAGTAGTACTCAATGTAGCTTTGAAGTGAGACTTTAATCTAATAAATCTCCACAGAAGAATCACCACCAAGCTCAAACAACATGAAGAGAAATCTTGATTCTCTGGCTGAATTAAACCATAAGGCCTTTGTTCCTTGAAAGGACTCTGATGAAGAAAATTGTGTATCTTGAGGAAACCTGATGGCGAAGACATATATGCTGCTTGAGATCCAAAACCTTAATCTCATACCAAGAAAAATGAGAGCACCAGCTGAATCAATTTTGAGTAAGGCGACAACCTCCATTCAGAGAGAGAAACCCTAATGCCAAAGCGCTTCGATCTTATAACCATGAGACCAATGCTATGTGCGAAATGTACAAGGTGCGATGAGGGATCTTAGGGTCAAAAATTGGGTTACAAAACCTGCAAGACAACTTATGAAGGTACAAACAAAGTAAAAATATCAAGGCTTCAGATTCTCACTTCTAAATTTGAAAATCTCAGAATGGGTGATAATGAGACCATTCAGGAATATCAGATGAAAATTCTTGAAATTGCCAATGCCTTCTAATCCTTGGGAGAAAAAAATATCAAAACAAAGGATTGTTAGGAAGATTATTAGGTCCTTACTAAGGAAATTTGATATGAAGGTAATAGTCATTGAGGAAGCTCAAGATATTAACAGCTTGAGAATTGATGAAGTTGTTGGGTCACTTCAAATTTTTGAAATGACTTTGAGACACAAGTATGAGTATGGGAACAAGAACACATATTTAACTCTCAATACAGAGTATAAAGAAGATGAAGTGAATTGGGATATGAATGATAGAGTGATGAGTATTATTGTGTCTCTTAGGAAGCAATTCAAAAGAATCCTATAAGAACTAGACATAACATATAGACAAAACGTTAGAAACATCTCATTTGACATCAATAAGAAGTCTGTGTCTAAAAGTCAAAATAAAAGTAACAAGACGTTGAATCAAGAGAAGAAAGTTATGTGCAATACATGTAAAGGTCTTGGACATATCAAAAATAAATGCCAAACATACTTCAAGAAACAACAAAAGGGAATATCTGTTGAAAACTCAGAAGCAATGTTCATGAATCCTATTACAACTTTCTCAGGAAGATGTAAGCCGACTAAATATATGAGTAAAGGAAAAAGGATTTGCTCTAGAGTGAATGATTTCCAAAAGAAGATGTTACTATTGTCTACTAAACTTGAAGATATTGCCAAGTCCATCAGAATATCAAACAAGGAAACCCCAGATGATAAATTTCAAACTGGTATGGGTATAGAGGAGTTAAGAAACGTTACATATAATGAGGATGGTAAACCAAGAAATACCCATTCTATCAAAAGGCTGGATACTATGATGTCAGAAAAGGGGTTTAGAGTTTCTGGGAAACACTAGGTCCCGAAGTGTCATCACTGTAAGGGATATGGTCATATAAGACCCTTCTGTTACAAGTTATATGGATATCCTAAACACGTTGGAGACAAGGGAAGTATATGGAAAGCTACAAGTTTGAAAACTTTCCTATTCACTCAAATTCATTATGGTACTTCAGTTGACAAAGGTCATGATAAGCCAAAAAATGAGGAAAATCACTGGAATGTCATAGGAGATGTCATGATATTGGACTATGATTACTTGAGTGACACAAATAGAATAAAATGTATTGCTCAATATGACTGCTCAAAACAATGGAAGAAATCTTATATGCTCAACAATGAGGTGCTAAAATAAAAAAAATAAAAAAAATGTTGTGACAAGTGTTATACCCCAATTTTCCCCCCTATGATCTCTCATCATTTCAATGTAAACCCAATCATATCAAGATCACACACTAGGGTTTGGTTCTTCTTCCTATATTTAGGTTTGTTCATAGGAGATCACCAAGCACTTTGATTTGTAAGGATTTGTACATGTATTTTGTGATTGATTGACTTTTAACTAACAAATATAATGTATATTTGTTCTATGGATGTGGAAATTATAGGTGATGTCGCAACACATTTCACCAGGTTGATTCATAGGTTCATGAGTTTATTTCCATGCCTTCTTCACAAAGATTCATTGATATTTAAGCTTTATGTTTGTGTGTGTTTCAAGATAACATGATTTTAAAGCCTACTATGTCTCATCATGCTCCACTTTGCTAAGGAAAGTCAAGAGATGTAAGATTGATTTAAGAAGTTTGACTTAATTTGACAAGTTCTTGATTCCTTGATTACAAGTGCATAATTTTCTCAATTTTCAAGATTTGGAAGTTATTATTGTTGCTATGGGTTATTACTATCATCCACAATAACTTCTCTTCACATAGCAAAAGTAATTGTGCAAGAAAGATTGTCAACAGTTGAAATGGGTTCCAAGTCATTTTGATGCCTTAAGAGCTAGGGTTTTGAAATTCTAAGGACTATATCTTGTTCATATTTTGAGATTTTAGAGTGATTCCAAAGATATGTTTCTCTTTAAAGGGTTATTAACAAAATAATTCAAGAGTTTCAAGAAAATTTTATATGTAATGTGATACGGTGGGGGAACTGACTTGGGTTTTGCGTTTGTTTTCGCAAATGTTTCGGTTTAGCAAGAGTCGCCACCGACTTTTTATTTTATCCTAAGGAAAGGTTAAAAAGCACAGGAAAAACCTTTGAGATGTTTTCTTGGGTTCGGGGAGTAGATTATAGAAAGGGAAGGTATTAGCACCCTTTCTATCCATGGTTATCCATGTGCTCTTAGTTACTTGCTTAGATCACTTGCTTTGCATTTTCAATTGTTTGAAATGGTGCTTTCAATTGTTTGAAATGGTGCTTTGTGTGTGTTTTGAAAGATATTTTGAAAAGAGGCCATGGTTGTGGCAACCTTTGTAATGATCCATGTTTGAATGTATACAAAGGTGTATTGTCTTTTGAAAACTTTTTCAATGTTTTGAAAGTTGTTTTGAAATTGTGTTGTGAGGTGTGTTTTTGAAAAGTAGCAAGGATTGCTTTGCAAGTTTGGTCAAGTAACCAAGAGCTATCTACCCTAAATTTCTCAAAGATCTTTCCTATGTTTTAACCCTTTTAACAGTATTGTTCCACCATTGTATTTGGTGGACAATCTTGTGTTAGGATGTTAACGGGACGGGCGCGGGTCATCGTTTAGACCATGAATGCAATAGTGCCAAGTGTCTTTGGCAATTTTTCTCTTTAAGGGACTTGATCATTTTTTAGGCAACTTGAGAAAGCATCATCGAGGGACTATGATCATTTGATTTGTTTTTGCTTTGCCAAAGACACTCAGCATGCAACATGACCCATTTTTGAAGGCAACAAGTGGAGTAACCCTAGGGGTGCAAGTGTGCATTGTGTTGTCCATTTTCATGCTTTTTTTGTCTTTGTATTAGTCAAGCTATTTGTTATTTGATTTGCATACAAACCCTAGGTCTATCATGGCATAATTTGAAAGCTTTTAAATGAGGAAATTTAAATGCTAAGCTATTACAACAAGATATAGGGAGGGGGTACAAGTTTGAATTTGGGGATATTTGACAAGAAATTAAATTCTAAGCTATTACATCCATATCGAATATACAAATATTTAATTGTACAATATTGGAATAAATATAATAAATATGCAAAATGTATTATGCACAAAAATGATTTTTTATGTATGTGAAAGTGTTTTTTAATGTGAAATAT